GAAAGTATGAGCTGGTTCCTTTATAAAGAGATGAAGTCAGCACTCTAGATGCAAATACCAAGTTACCAAAATATTGAGTCTCAATATTAGTCGAAGATAATTTCAGTTGCTGATCTATCAGAAAATTGATCTGGTGTGCCGGATGTCCAGGAAAATATAAGTTGCTTCAGATAAAACACCAAAAGATTGAAGTCAGCTTTCTGGTTTCAAAAAAATGCACCACCGTCTCGGAAATTACAAAACAACACGTAGAATTAATTGGCGGGAAAACACTTGCACTTATTAAATTTTATCACAGTTTATCGCGATACGTGCAAATTACGTGCCCATAACACACCACCAATCAAAATTTAACACAAACACAGAATTTATGCCAGTAAATAATCCGTACAAAGTTCTATTAATTAACCGGTATTCACTATATAAAGCACTAACCGGGCACTAGTTGTATTTATAACAAACTTAATATCCGGCTCGAAGGACCAATGGTTGGGCTGGCTACCATCAGTAATTACTAATAAAGCGGACTGTAAGTAAATAATTGTTATCTGACAATAACTGTTCCAAATTTTGAACATTACTGAATAAAAACACTGTGATTGGTATAAATCTATATTAAATCTTCAAACTATTACAAATACAGCGGTGATTGAATATACTTGTTGACTGTTCCGCTACATTGTCTAGACTAACTTAAAATTATGACTGTCGAGTGTACAGTATTTAGGTATAAGACAGCCCTTGTGTGAGTGACACAGGCCAGAGGCTGCAATACCAAAATTCTAAGAATTGTAACGCAAATCCCGGCGCCACGGCACGGTGCACTGAAATTGTCAAACCGTCAGAATATATTCTGACCATATACTTTTCATATATTCTTTCACAATATATATTTGTTTTTTAAAACTAATTTATTAAATTGGTTAGATTTATGTTTTTTTACATGGTTTTATTTATTTTTGTCTGTAATTATGTATTTTTTATATTGTTTTAATTTGTAACCCTGAAATATTTAATTGTAGCACTGAAGATGGGTCAAATCAAGACCCGAAACATATGATCTCTGAATAAAAACATTTTTCAATAAAACTGTTTTTTAATTACTGGATGGATGCCCAAGAAACAATTTTATCATATATATATTTGTATGATTCTGAAAGTTTTGTCCAAGGAACATACAATTCTTTAATGTTCATGTTTTTATTGATGTTATGCCCGATTAATAGACTTCGTTAATATATATATATATATATATATATATATATATATATATATATATATATATATATATATATATATACGAGGTCTGTTCAAAAAGTACCCGGAATTTTCGTTTTTTCAAAAAAATATTTATTTATTCGTCTACATTAATGTGGTCCCCTTCAAAGTAGTCCCCCCCAGATATAATACACTTATGCCAGCGTTTTTTCCAATTTTCGAAGCACCCTTGATATTCACTTTTTGATATGTCCTTGAGCACTCTCAGCGATTTTCTTCAATCGAGGAAAACCGCCGTCCTTTCATGGGTCTCTTCAACTTTGGGAATAGGAAAAAGTCACACGGAGCCATATCTGGTGAATTTTTGCACTTTGCAACACTTTATTTCATTTTTTACGCAAAATTTAATACAAATTCTTTGACTTTTCAATTCTTCCATTGTAAAAATCGCCGAGCTCAGAAAAACACGTCGAACCTTAGCGACTACCACAGACAAAGTAAACAGTGAATATAGCTGAAAATTTCATCATACTTTAGGGGCATGTATACTATAGATGTTGGGTCTATATATTATTTATATTTATAATTAAAAGAACTGAATAACGTGTATATAAGTTTAATTAACAATAATAAAATAAGTATAAAGTATTTCACTGATATAAAATATATTTAGGTTAGGTTTATGTCTTCACTCTTCCAAGGGTTGATGATGAGGGTGAGACTGCATTTTTCGCATCCCTCGAGCCCACGCAAGTGTTGCACGATGCGCCGTCGCCAACTTGACAGTTTGCGACGTTCTTCACACGCAACGTGTCTATGAAGTTGGTATTGGCGTTTCTAGTTGTTACTCTCACCGCTAGGTGTCAGGAGACGCCATAATACCAACACAATAAAAAAAAAAATTTGACAATCAGACACTCCAGACCCGCGAAATTTAATTATTAGTAATTCCGGGTACTTTTTGAACACACCACGTATATATATATATATATATATATATATATATATATATTTCAAAGTAACTAGCAGCCCATTCGTCGAAATAAAAAAGGTATAAAGTATAAAAACTTTTATTTATACGTTTCGACACAAGATGCGTGTCATCATTCAGCAACTACAACAATTTGAAAATTTTATTAACTAATATAAACACCAATATAGATTAATTATAACATAGAGAAACATTATACACACCACAGGACAAAAACACTCAACAAAAATTTATTTTTAAAAAATTAAACTTATAACAATTAGAAAAAAACATTTTTTTTTAGAAAAAATTATGAATAACTAAAAGATTTGAAAACTAATTTGACTAAAAGTTATGAAATGTAACATTGTGAAGCAAGAAACACGCCCATACCGAGCACCATACTCGACTGTAATATTTCAATAGGCGTATTGATAGGAATGGGAGGGGACGTATCAAGGGCAAATGCACGAAGCACGAACGCATCGAAAACAAGTGGTTGAAATGGATTTGATCAAAAGGAAAATGCAAAACATGTAAAAGTTTGAACAAGAAAAAACAAAATTGTAAAAAATAATATAAGAGAGATAGCAAATTATTTTTTTGTTTTTTTAATAAAATCAATAACAAGCTGGTAACTATCATGTAAAAGGTGGGATGAATTGCGTTTATTAACACAAGAGGAATTTAATGAAATAAAAAAGGATTCAGCAAATTGTCTAAGGTCACTATTTTTTTCGATATAGAGAATAACATTAATACTTCACATCCTGTTATTCTCAATAGGCACAATGCCCTAATTGCCTTAAGACAGAATTCCACTTACAGCTAGTTCTTTATCGTAGTTCATTTTACAGACAATATTATTTAGTTTAACGAATTTTTTTTTTTAAATTTCATCCACGTAGAAGGCCGGAATCACTGCAGCAGTGAAAGGCCTTTTTTTGTCGCGCCGTTGGAGATCGACGATAACTTAAAAAATATTTATATATGTATATGTATATTTACCATGTATTTTTAAAACATGTATAAATATATTCCTAAAATTTTGAAATGATTGATAAAGTAGTTTTTTTTAATATAAATTGCCAAAAATCATCTTTTTTTTAGGCGGTTACACTAGTTGTGCCCCTTAATTTGAGTTTAAAAGTCGGGCGTTCCATCAATATAAATAGTATGAGAGTTTTCAGAAATTTATTTAAAATCCATACGTTTCAGCTAGCATCTTAGCCTTCATTCAGTGGCAATCAATATAACTATGAAAATTAGAACTAAATAAATAATATGTAAGAAATTTCTTAGAAAAACAACAATAATAATAATAATAAAACACTTACAATTTTGTCCTAATTGGGGCCGTGTTGTCGAATCGGTTTTGCAATTGCAAAACAACTCTTCAGCGAATCTTCTTTTCAAAGCGTTCTCTGCAAAATGTAAAATTTTTGGGTTGAAAAAATTTATTATTTGTATATTTATGACTCCCGACTAAAATCGAAAAACGGACGTGTTTGTCTATACTTGTTTATCTATGCATTTTTTTGAAACTTTAAAAAATTATATTATAGAAATTTTTGAAAAAACTGTTTTTTTAACTTTCTGTAGTTATTGTAATCATCCAAAAATAGAAAATGAAAATTTTTGCATATCTTTACGTTCCAAAGGTTTCTGGATATATGTATGTGAGTGTGTGTACGTCCGTATGTATGGATACAATTTTTCGTCGGCGTTTTTTCGGAGCATGGATCAAACGATTTGGTTGATTCAAAATACATTCGATTTCTACTGAGGGGGATACGTGCTGATTAGTGTTTGGCTAAGACAGTTCTAGCCGTTTCGGAGATATGGAGCAAAAAGTGAAAAAAATAAAATCGAGTTTTTGAGATAACGGAGCACCCGATTTAATTTTAAGAAGACTTTCAATTTGTAATGACGGGGAGAAGAGGTGATTAATTTTTGACAAAAACAAGTCTAGCCGTTTTGGAAATACTGAGCTGTGGAAAAATGACAGTTTTTAAGAGAACTAAAGATCTGAATTGAATCATTCAAAAAACGTTTAGCTTGCGTTGACAAAACGTTTGTTTTTTTTTAGAAAGTAAAAAAAAAATATTTCAAAATAAAAATTGGTGCGGTACCCATAGAAACGTAAACAAAATTTGTTTACGTTTATTAAAATGTCTAAAAAATATTTTATAATTTGATGTGCATATATCTAGTTATCATTTTTATCCGCCAAATAGTGTTTTCCCTTACCTTTTTTATTGGTACTCCAAAACCGCTAGACCAGCCTTTCTAAAAACTTAAAATCAGTTCTGGATTTTTCAAATACAAATACAATGTTTTTTGTATCATTCAAATTAGAATTACCATTTTTGACTCTTTCTGCTTGGTGTCTTCGAAACGGCTGGACCTGCCTTTGCCAAAAACTCATCAACACGTCTCCTCGTCGATACGAATGGATTGTTTTGTGAATTATTCAAATCGGTTGATCAGTGTTCACGAAATCGTCGACGAAAACTTGTATCCAAACACACACACATACACATATACGTCTATTCATTTCTAAGGTATGCCAAAATGTTCTGAAAATCTTCGAAACGTAAAAGCATATAAAAATTTTCATTTTCGATTTTTTTGCGATTACTATAATTCAACCTACGGGAAATTAATAAAAGTAAGTATTTGTAATTTTTAAAATTTGAAGTGTTTATATGAGAGAATGAACGAATTTTTATATGAAAATATACACCTAAAATTCTAATTCATATTATTGAAATATATAACTAAAGTCATCTATTCAATCATCATGTTGTAGCAATGGTAATGGACCGAAGCAGGACAATCCATTTGAAGAGGAAGAAGATTGGGACGAGGGCGATGGTGACAATGATGCATTAGTAGACAATGGAGAGCCCGGTGTTCCTATTAAAGCTCTTTATGATTATCAAGGAGCAGAAAGTGACGAATTAACTTTCAAGCAAGGTAAGTGATGTGATAATATTTAAATTTATATCTTGAGTTTGAATCATCATTATGGTCTTTTTTCTCATAGGGCGTTGTAGAACATACATATATGTTGCTATGCATACTCATATTTAATTGCTAAATTTCAAACTTTTTTCAATAAACTGATACCTGGATCATTTGGATGAAAGTTATTATCAATTATTTCTGTTATTCTTTTTATAGTGCTCCTACTTTAATTATGGACCAGCTATTGAGCTAGTGAACCTGTTGAATAACTTTGTTCCTGTAAGGCTAAAAATTTTTATACTGGTGATTCTGAGCTATGTACGAAAACAATGGCATGGCAGGCTTCAGTCCTGCACATCAACATTTTTTAAAAACTTAGAAATTTTCTTGGCAAATTTTGAAAAATGAAATTATATTCATAACGCTTAGTTCAAGTTACTAAATATCTGATTTTCGACCGCCAAATAGAATTTTTTTAACTTTGTATTGGCAAAAACTTGATCATTTCATTATTACGTCAAAATAAGTGGTATGTTTTTTGAATCATTCAAATCGCATTCTCTTTTCTCTCACAAACTTAATTGCCATTTTCTGCGCTACGTATCTCCGAATCGACTGGACCGACTTTTGTCAAAAACTAATCAACACGTCTCCTTATTAATAGGAATCGAATGCTTGGTTGAGCGGTCCTTCCGAAATCGACGAAAAATTGTATCCGTGCATACTAGAGATGGGCTTATAATATCCGAAACCGGATGGGTTCGGATTTGACTCCGCTTCACAGAGGAGTTATATCCGGTTAACAACTACACGACTTCGACAAATTCGAAACCTAATACTCGACAGAAATGTTCTATATGGTGTTGTTTATATATCTAAAAATTTATTAAGTATTTGGTTTACAATCAGTTCAAACGTTTTTTCTTTTCATTTTATTATATGAAATTACTATTTTATGCATTTTAATATGCATACAAAACTCGTATTGTATGCCGAAATTGGGACAATAAAAATATTAAGTATCATTCAAATATCAGTTCTTTAGATCATTCAAATCGGATGCTCTGTTTTCTCAAAAACTCGATTTCTATTTTCTGCACTCTTTGCTCTGTAATGGCTGGACCTGCCTTTTTCAAAAACTAACCAGCACATCTTCCTATCGAAAACGTGGACGAAAAATTGTATCCATACATACATACACACACACATCAATTTTTCCTAAATGTTCAGAAACCTTCAAAACGTGAAGATATGTAAAAAATTTTGGACGATTACAATAATTTGTCTTATGGGTAAAGCTAAAATCCTGGATTTATTTATTTAGCAAAAGTGATCCAAATTTATAATCAAAATTGTTAGTTTAACCCAGTGAATCCCAAACTTATTTCACCTACCGCCCCCTTTCCAGAAAAAATATTATTCAGCGCCCCCCTAATTTTGTTTTTATTTCAATAGCAATTAATAAGATATATAAAAATTATTGTATCTGTAAATGATAAATTGATGAATAAGAAACCAATTTTGATAGAGTACGCTACTTTAATAAATCATAAAACATTCGGAAAAAAATTGCACTATCAGTGATTTTCAAATTTTTTAGGCCGTCAAGTCACTGTATTGAATTTTTCAGGTATATTACGGATATATTTCTAATGAAATGCAATTGCAATTAGTACATCACTGCTGACGGATAGATTTGCAAAACATTTGATGATTTATTTATTAAAATCATGGACGTTATCAAAATTAATATTTTACTCTTTCAAAATAATGTTGTCAAAGATTGAAATCATAAAACTATAATCAGAATAAAGATACAATCATTATAATTTTAATTTGAGGGATGAATTTGGTGTGCTATTACCAATTTAGAAATTTTCGGTTCTATCTTCGCCAAAAGTAATCTTAAATCACGATCGACTATTAGTAATCGGTTTCTTTTTTTTGTTGTTAAAGTTACAGCGCTGAATCCACTTTCCACTAATGATAAAAGTATGATGACGGAAATGCAATCAGAAATTTTTCAATGACAGACCAAATTTGTGAGTAGACCGTCGGGATCTCTTGGCAGCAGAATTGTTGGTAGCAATTTTAGAATTTAAATTTCAATTCACCATTTGTTATTATATCTATCAATTCTTTTTGTAGCTGTGAAGAATCTTCTGTAATTGCACTTTAAAAAGGAACGAAATTCCAATCAAGTTTGTTAATTTGTATAATACTCGTATCTTCGAAATCAAAATCGCTATTCCAAAATTTGTGCGTTAAATATCATTCCACGAGCCTTAAGCTCTACGGTGTTGATGAAATTTTAACGAAATCGAATAATTTTACAAATTTAGAAATATTTAATGAAGATGGTACATTTGTGAAAAATATAAATGCCTTCGTGCTTAAGGGGTTAGTGGTACTTGGAATTTTTCAAAAATCGATTTTTATTTTTTTGCATTCTCATCAAGTGTAATATCTTGAAAATGTTCTCTAAACTATGTTTTTTGAACCGGTGACCACTGTAACTCAAAAACCGCTTAGTAATATTTAATGAAATTTATACAGCTTTTAGAATACATAATAAACTCGGGCCTGATTGAAGGATTTTTATTTTTTCAAAAATTTCAATTTTTTAAGACCAATTAATCCCTTCGCTTACAAAGACGCCTCAGAGGCGTCGCAAGGTTATCGGCCCAAACACAAATATGACGCCTCAGAGGCGTTGCAAGGTATTAGGCCCAAACACAAATATGACGCCTCAGAGTCGTCGCAAGGTTATCGGCCCAAACACGAATAGGACGCCTTAGAGTCGTCGTAAGTCTACCGGACGAAACATAAATGAAAATTTTCCGAGACTTGGTGAAGCATATACATACATCGTTTATAAGAAGTTTTAATAAAATTTCCCATTATAATGTATTAAAAAATGATTAGTGATGAATTACAAAGCAGTGATAATTTTGCTACCAGTAGTACTGACAGTGGTAGTGACATTGTACGTTTCGCACAAATATATAAATTTATAATTATATGTATAAATTTATATATTTTAATAATAATTTTTTATTTTTATTTAAGAATCAGCGTAATTATTTATTAAAAATCTTGCAAAGTTAATTGTACCGCACATGCGCATATAGGAATTTTGTGATTTGTTCAGTTTCGAACGCTGAGCAAAGTTGTTTATGCAACTGCGTGCGACCGACCTTAGTGTCGCTTTGGGCCCGTAAATTTGGATATTGGCTAGTAAGTGAAGGGGTTAACTGTTGATTTTTTACCCAAAAATCTAGAAATTTTATTTCTGATGCTGCCATTTTGTTAATTTTTGCAAAAAAAGAAAACCTTCGATCAGGCCCAGGATTATCTATTTATAATATATTATAAATATTTATAAAACTTTTTCTTTTCATTTGATTGATTTTAGATGAATCTCTAAGGAGTTATGATGGTCACCGCCAGGACCGTTTTTTTGAAACAGGGTCAACAAAAACAGCTATAACTTTGGGAATATTAATTTTTATCTGAAATTTTTGTTACTTCAAGTCAAAACATTGTATAATGATGCCGTATCAATATTTTTGTAAAAAAACATCGTTTAATAACAAAAAAACAATACTGAAAATTCTCATTTTTTTGTACCTCCAAGTACCCCTTAAGAAAATATCGAGTCCACTCGCGCGGCGAATCCAAATTTCTGAGCTAAATCTTCCTAATGGATTAAGATTTTCGGATCCACACTTCACTATCCCGCGCGAAGTAGATATGTTGATAGGTGTTGATACGTTTTGTAAAACTTACGTACGAAAGAATTATTCTAGATCACGGTAAACTTATTTTACAAAACATGGTACTCGGGTGGACAATTACGGGTAGATATCAAAGAAATATAATTGCAAGGCAAGTAATAATCATATATCCGTCATAGAATCTCTTACAGAATTTGGTAAAGTTACACGCGTTGACAAGTTACATAAATTGTCGACTCACAAAGAAAGTGTGAACCATCGTTTTCAGAAAATTCTGATGTAATTATGGTACTGTTTCCGCATCATTTCTTGCATATACACGTTTAAACATTTAACTTTTGACAAAGATCATAACTTTCGTTTGACGGCAGATGAATTGCGCAATTGGACTATGCCAATTTAGTTTTAAAATAGTAAATACTAAGAAAATTTAAAAAGTTCCAGTTTTAATAACCTCAGTAGAGTAATTTTTTTTGTTTTATTTATTGGCTTTTGATATACATCATAAGGCCAGATGCCATTCTTACAATTGTTTACTACAAATTCTTATTGAATCATTAACTTATAAATTAATTTTTTTTAATTATTAATAAAATTAAATATATATTTATAAATTTTTAAATTGTTACTAGCTACTAATGATTGTACATAGATTGGGAAAATAATATTTTCTTTAAGTAAATTTATTATTAATGTTCTTCTTTCGTTTTGGAATAAGTTGCATTCCCAAAACAGGTGATGTATTGTTTCCTCTCCGCTTCCGCAATCGCATGCTGAGTCCGTTATGATTCTAATTCTTTTCAAGTGGTTCTTGCAGAAGGTGTGTCCATATCTCAGCCTACAAATAACCGAGATGAAAATTCTACTTTATTCCATGTTTTCAAACCATGTATTTTGCGATACCTTATTCTTTGTTAATGCGTATGTGATGCCTTTCGCTTTTGTTGATTCTGCAAAGAATGTTTGCCATCTTTCTATACACTGTTGTTTGATTACGTTATTTAATTCTAAGGAAGGAATTTTGTCACAATTTTCGCCGCTATGGCAAGCTTCTTTTGCTAACGCATCTTCTATCTCGTTTCCATTTATATTTGCGTGTCCTTTAAGCCATACTAAGATCATTGACTTTTCTCCTACATTTCTTTCGTTCAGATTGTTTATAATTTCATATATCAATATATTTGCATGCTTGCTTGGATTGTTTATTGCGATTAGACTCGATTTGCTATCACTGAAAATGATCGATTTATTTACATTTTTGTCTCTAACATATTTTGTTGCTACATGTAACGCCATCAGCTCCGCTATAAAGATGGAGGCAAATTTTGGTAATTTAATTTTTTTCCTATATTTGTGATTATATATAGCACATTCAGTTCCATCTTCCATTTTTGAACCATCTGTATATATGTGAAGGTGATCGGGCCATTTTGAGTTTACTTTATTTTCAAATTCCCAATTTTTTATTTGTTTATTTTTAATAGATTCTTCTACTAAGTTGGCCTCTGTTTTGGCATAGGAATTTTTATATGAATAATATTGTGGAAATTGATAATAAGACTTGATTTCGCAAATTTTTACATATTTCTCATACGGTTTTAGGTCATAAAAGCTCGTTATTAAAGGGGGAGTAGGTCTGTTTGTCCAATATGGTTTAGTTATATGTAATCTTGCCAATTCTTCTAGTTGCTTTGGAATATTATGGCAAGCGTTATTCAATTTTTTAACTAAAAATCTTTTAGCCAATAAACGTCTTCTTATATCTAGCGTAATATATTTTTATGATTGCAACATTGTTCGCGAAACGAGACAAACGAATAGAAGTCACAAAATTAAATTCGATTTTACAAGCTTTTATGCAACAAACAGATCACTCGCGTGATTTATGAAGATGCTTCAGATCCTTTCAATCTATCACGTGGCCCATTTTTAATTATACGACACGTTAACTGATGTATTGCATAATCATTAACTGGCTTGCTAATTGTGTTATCAAAGAATAATGATAGATTTTCAATTTTGATTTAAGTCAGCATTAAATTATGATTCAGGGCCAACATTGACAAAGTCGGCGTCTAAAGAAATTAAAATATTTAACTGAACGGTAACTCAGTTTTTAAGAGAACTGATAGGCAGGTCTAGCCGTTTCGAAGATATGGGGCAAAAAGTGCCACGAACGGTAACTCAGTTTTTAAGAGAACTGATTGTGAGTGTTCGATTTTAATAATTCCAAAATTTCATTTTACTTGTATTGTAAAGATGAACAACTGGTTAAATTTTTACGAAAGCAGGTCTAGCGGTTTCGGAGATCTAGTGAAAAAAGTAAAAAAATACCATTTGGCGGTCAAAAATGATCATTAGACATATGCACATAAAATTATCAGATATTTTACACAGATTTTAACAATAAGTATGAACTTTGTTTACAATCCCATGGGTTCAGTACCAATGTTTATCCGTTAGGCGGCGACGCGGCGCTTACGCGCTTCGATATTTTGTCTCTATGCAGTTATTAATATTATATATAAATAAATGATTAACATTGACACCGAAATATAAAAAGATAATATTTTGGTCAAAATTATCGAAACATATATGATATAATGTGAATTAGAGCTGAACCTAACTTTTCTTTTCTCACTGTTGAATGTTCATGATGATGGTAGCAATTCTACAAGAAAGCATTTGTTTTATTCACATCTATTGATACAAAAAATGATTAGATATTTATATAATTACTAGCTGACCCGACAAATGTTGTTTTGCTAAGTAAGGTATATTTTAAACAATTTCTAGAGAATCAAAAATATTAATACTTTAAGTGTATAAAGAATGTGTTGTTTGAATGCTATATACAATGAGGTATTATAAACCCCATTAGTTTGTCTATATTTTGTCAATACAATCACACTGGAAGTTTTATACACTTTCTATAGAAAAATGGTATAATCCATTCCAAGTCTTTTTTGGTCTTCCGACTTATTGATTATGTTTCAAGTTTTTCAGATTCTTTTTGGATTCTGGATTTTGTGTATAATTGTAAATAATACTACTGAGCTTATACAATATTTTCAAATTTCTGTGAGGAGAGATAGAAAATGAATTAAGTATAGTAACTTAGAACGTAACTTAGAACGGCCAGGTGGCAAACAGGTTTATTGTTTTATTTTTATTTTAAAGGTATTTTACAAAATAATTACATTTTTAGCTAATGCTCAAAAATTACCAACGGAAAAAATAACTTAGAACGGCCAGGTGGCAAACAGGTTTATTGTTTTATTTTTATTTTAAAGGTATTTTACAAAATAATTACATTTTTAGCTAATGCTCAAAAATTACCAACGGAAAAAAATACTTTTATTGTGGATTTTTAAAGATTACCATTTATCTCCCGATAGCAAAGTCATGAGAATCAAGGTTACAGCTGTTTATACTTTTAAATATCGTTGTTAAACAATGCTTAACTTTACTGGTTTTTGACACATCGGTGGTGGACCTTTTTAACCCCGGACCTTTATATATTACTATATATTCTTCGATAAATTCTGGGAAATTATAACTAGGGAAATGTTATTCGACCAAATTTTGGATCTGAATTTAAATAACTTAAATAAAAAATAATATAACCTAGAAAATGTTTTATTAATACCAATGAGTTGAAATGTAATAGGGTTGTTGGTAACGTGGTTCGTATTGACCTCCTAGTCAAATTAGGTTATAGTAATAGTAGGCTTCGGAATGCCTTGAGTTCTTATTAAGATATTGGCTGAAATATCTTTTCACTTCTAAAGAACAACACTGATTGACTATTTTTAACAATAATTTATTAGCACCCACTTATAATGATTAACAATTATCTTTATAATGACTAAACCGCGACTCTGCTGAGGCCAACAGCAACTATGCTGTGGCCTACAGCAACTCTGATGTGACTATGGCAACTATGATATAATTAAAACAACTCTGATGTAATAAAGACAACTCTGATGTTATTCAAGCAACTCTGGCTCCAACTCATATCAGTACTTTTTATATACTGCTTAAGTGGGACTGCAAACACCTTACGAGGGCGTATTTAAAATATTTGCTGATTGTGATAATTACTGCAATCGATATCGAATTTGGCATATCAGCATTGCTATTACACAATGCAGCATTATCGATTGCTATTACACAATAGAGTATATCATTATACAAATGAGATCTTTCAGAGCTCATTGGGATTTTAATAAAGTTGATATTTTGAGTTTCTAGTAACACTTGCAATCCGTTTAATAACGTTTTTGTGTATAAACATAACTACGAACAAAACTACTTACTGCAATTTAATCATAATTAAATAATATTCACGTGAAACATCCCATTAAACGTAATTGAACATCATCTGTTTTATTAACTTCCCGTAGGGTAAGTTATTGTAATGCGCCGAAATCGGAATTGAAAATTTTTACATTTCTCGACGTTTTGAAGGTTTCTGAACATTTTGGCATACCTCAGAAAAAATGATGTGTGTGTGTGTGGTGTGTGTTATGTGTTTGTGGTGTTTATGTATGTGTGGATACAAATTTCCAGTCACGTTTTAGGGCGCACGGATCAACGATTTGAATGGTTCAAAAAACATTCGATTCCTATTGATAGGGAAAAGAGCTGATTAGTTTTTGGCAAAGGCAGGTCCAGCCGTTTCGGAGATACGGAGCAAAGAGTGCGGAAAATAGAAATCGAATTTTTGAGAGAACGGAGTATCCGATTTGAATGATCTAAAAAACATTCAATTAGTAATGATTGCGAGAAGTGTTTATTAGTTTTTGGCAAAGGCAGGCAAATATGTGAAAAATTGCAGTTTTTGAGAGAACTAAGCGTCCGATTTGAATGATTCAAAAAACTTTCTGCTTGTCTTAACAAAATAATTGATTTTTTTTTTTTTAGTTTTTTGTTGAAACAAATAATTTCTAATATACTTTACAAATAATTCAACTCTGCAATTCAGTTTATATAATTCTTATAAATATTAGACAATGTTACAATATTTATAATAATCTATTTGAAAACATTCAGTATTCCTCAAACATTTCGTTACGGTACGGGAAGTTCCAGCAATTTGCCTTAAGGCACTATGCCATAATTGCCTCAAGACAGAATTCCACTCACAGCTAGTTTAAATTACGTTTCTACAAAAAATTTCAAATTAAAAATGTAAAGTTTCTACGCGATTTTGAAATAATATCTCACCTTTCCGACAACCTACTGATTAGCACGAATTTTTCAAGACTAAGACTGGCCCAATCGGTTTAGCCGTTTTCGAGTTTTAGCGGATCATTTTTATATATGAGAAGGTTATTTCACATGTGTTTTCAAAGCTTTAATTAAATTAAATTAATATTAATTGAATAGTGGCGCACTGATGAAATGCACTTTTTTAGGTGACGTGTTCGAGAAACTGGAGGATGAAGATGAACAGGGTTGGTGCAAAGGGCGAAAGGATGGTCGCGTCGGACTTTATCCAGCTAATTACGTGCAACCAGTGTAACAATAACAGTGTGTGAGCTAGATTAATTAAAAAATGATAATTCAAATTGATTTGTAATATAAATTGTTTTCAAAACATCTCCAAATTAATGTAGTGAAATAACATTAGTAGAAGAAATGATGAACATAATCCTTTTTATACATCTGGACAATTAATTGTAACAGACCTAATTCTATTCCATTAGTTTGAAAATTACATTAATTTTAACATCCTTTTAATTATATATTAGACAGAAAGGATTAGAATTCGGTCTTATCTAATTTAATTTTTTGCTTGTCTCCATCTCCTTAATCTAGCTTTCAGGACATTTGTTAATACATGCGAACTTTTGCACTGCATATGAGCCACACACACACACACACACACACACATACATACACATATATATATATATATATATATATATATATATATATATATATATAAATGAATGAGAATGAGTTATTGTTGAAGATAATTGTTTACCTATTTACCAGTTAATGAAATATATAAATTATATATTAATTTTCCATGAATAAACATTTGGACATTGTTTTGGGTGATAAAAATAAAATGCATTTGATAAATATCACATACATCTTTATGAGACCAATATATGTACTATTTATTCTAATTAAACAAAATGGTTCAACCTACAACTATAAAGTATTTATATTATAATTATCACTTAGTGATAATACTTATCTATTAAGCAATATGAAGATAAATTTGTATCAATTATTATATCTATCACATATTAATGTTAATAACTTATTCATTTAAACTAAAATATTTTATAGTATTGTATATAATTAATTGTTATCATGCTGAGGAAACGAGTAAGAGGTGTTAAAGATCATTGTTATATAGTCATGTGAATAGAAATATCAATATACATAAAAGATTCTCTGAAAAGTTTATGAACAAATACTACTTTAATTTAATTTAACATTTTGCTCATGGTTTCAATTTCTGAAATTCTAAGAGAATATCTTTCAAAATTTATTTATTTATTGTCTTGTTGTTTATAATTTATTTTAACCTGAAACATAAATTTGGTTATTATTTAATATAATTTAATTTTATGAACATTGTATTAATTTTTTTTCTAACGACGAAATAATTTAGGTTGTTAATATGTCATGTAATGTTTTGTTGTATCATTAAATTGAATGTATATATATAATAATAATAATAAATGTTTATTTAATCAAATAGTTTTTTTTAAAAAAGAATTAGTTTAGTTTTTTAGGATATCTAGCTGTACCCGATCACGCGTTGCTGTGTTTTACATGTAAATAAAAATCTTAACTAAAATGCTGTTCTGTTACATCAAGTTGTTGAGATGGATGTTCTAAAATCTAAATAATGTCTCCCAATTGCCATCGAATACCTAACACCGCGCTATGCTCAACACTATCACACACACTAGCATAATTCGCTGTACATTTATTGCTGACACATGTTCGGTTTTTTTTTAAAAAAAAGCTGTGCAAATTTACAATTTTTACAGAAATTAAACTTGCCTCGGATCAGCTACATCTCGTTTATTTAATCCCCAAAAATATTTTATTTAAAAAAAAGTAATAACTCACATTTAGTGCTGTTTCCAATTATTGAATATTCACAAGATATGTGTTGCTGTTGTTAATATGTATAAGTGATAATCTAAGAATTTCAAGTAATACGTTCTGTAATTTTTTAATTTTAGATTTAGATATTTATATATATAAAGTCCGTTTTTTTAGTTTTTTTTTTATTCTTGCTCTGTATATATTTAGTTTCTAACGTTACTTTTTCTGTTTATTTCAAAATTGTAGAACCACTGATGATGACGTACAATTTCACGTCGACACGTATGGAAAAATAAAGATGTTTTAAAAATCTTTACTTTATTTACTTTTTACTTGATGTTACGCAATCCAAGAAATTAATCATACATTACAAAGTCCGTTTTTTAGTTTTTTTTTTATTCTTGCTCTGTATATATTTAGTTTCTAACGTTACTTTTTCTGTTTATTTCAAAATTGTAGAACCACTGATGATGACGTACAATTTCACGTCGACACGTATGGAAAAATAAAGATGTTTTAAAAATCTTTACTTTATTTACTTTTTACTTGATGTTACGCAATCCAAGAAATTAATCATACATTACAACATCAAATTTAAACGCCTTCAACACACACACACACACATATATATATATATATATATACTAGATGACCCGACAGACGTTGTCCTGTACCCGCCTCTATGTTTTTTTAATATCCTATACTAATATTTATACCGTTCAGTTAAAAATAATCATTATTGTTTTTCGAGTTACTATTTACACCAATATATGGGTGATGTTAAATGTAGTACTGTTTCAAATAAAATGATTATTCTCAATTCGCACAGTTAACACTTTAATTATCCCTTTAATAAATATTAAAATATGTTCAATAAAATTATATATTAAAAATTATACACTGCGAGTTATAGAACAAATTTATTTCCAATAGCTCAATTTATTTTATTGAATTTAAGGGTTATACAATATTTTTAGACATACCTGTGGATGTGGATGTTTAAATGAATGATTTTTTGGTTATTCACGGCTAAATCATTGATTTTCCAAATTTATCACTATGTATTTATTGTCATAGCATAGATACACGTGTTGAAAATTGAAATCTTTTAAAAAGTATAACCAATTCAGAAAGCATTAATATATAGCATGCGGTCAAGGTACAATATCACCTTGGATTTTTCTACCCAAAATAATTGCTTCAATAATGTTGCCTACAATTTTTATAATTTCGTTCCATATTTTAACTGGCTTTTAGTATTTTAATATCTAAATTGCATTTTTCTAATAATTCAATATACATTATTACTTAAGTTCATATTTGAAAAGAATTAATTTGTCAAATTTTGTTCACATGTGCTCTATTCAACCTACTATCAACAAAATTATTGCAGTAAATAGAGAGGAAAAAAGCGTATGCCTAGCTAATCTTAATCTAAAGTTCAGAAGTGAAAACAATTTCCATTTCGTCACCACCCCCCGCATTAATTGGATTATAACCCTTTTAATTCTGATTTTATCCTAACTTGTAATATACTATTTTAAAGGTGATTAAATATGTTACAACTTTCTCTATCATAAATTTTACCGTAACTTCTCTTATTTTGAAACGGCGAAGGGTTAAAGGGCTCGAAAGACACTTCGGTTGGACAGCCGCGCACTCTTTAAACAATTAGAACTCTATCAATATTTGTGTAACAAAAAAATAATAAAAAGCAATAATTAGTCAGAAAAATACCTTGAATTTTCATATATATACTTTTATACGTATTCTTTCAGAGATATTATAATGAGAAATTGGTTGTTTTATTAAATGGATTTTTTTATGAAATCATGAGTTTTTTTAAAATCGATTGTACTAATGTTATGGTATTTTCTAGAATCCATCAAGATCTCTCAAACCAAGTTAATTCTAGATGGAAAACGATTATTTTTAATTTTGGTGGTAATAGCACTCATAAACTATTTGATTTAAATGAAAAAAAAACATTGTATGCGTCTTTTAATTGCATGATAGCTCACTCAATTTACACGCAGAAGTACTTCTTTTGAAACTTATTATGAGAACTATAAAAACCCATTTTCATAATTAACTTAATATTGTTCCTAGAACACTGTAAAATAGCGATTTATTAGAATTTTTATTGATTTAATTTTGTTTATTACATGATTTTCGTTAAAATGTATATTTTTGAAAAAACAATGAAAAACGCAAAAAAGAAACAAATTTTCAGTAGCCAGTAACTTGAAAAGTATTTGCTTTTTTGAAAAACATTATTAAACATTTTTCTCTTATAATTAGTTCTTTTATCGATACCCAACGTTATTTTGAAAAAGACAAATTGCACCACTGAAAAGAAATTTCATCCACCCGAGAAGTGGTAAAGGAGTCTAAATTGTTTTCACTTCTGAAGAGTAAGATAAACCTAGTTCCAAAATTTCAAACGAAATGAAAAACAGTAAAAAAAAGTTCAGACCGAAAGCATTGAGTGAATATTCCGTACCCAATGACAAACATATGAATTTTTGACACAATGAAACTTCTAAATAATCTTTTTTTGTATTGTAACTTAGTATAGTAAGGCAAAACGACTGCAAATTGAATATTTTTTAACAAAATTTTATTGCAAGCAAAAGCAAACCACGCGCAGTTGAGAACACGATTCGCCGTGCGCGTCAGACGCATGCGCAGACTGTCAAACGCATGTTATATTATTTGCATCTTATATTAATTTAATTTTTGGCACATCTAAACTGCTTTTTGGCATTAATAATGTAGACATTACATTTTCCTTATTTATAATCATGAATTTATTATATTTTAATATTGCCTTAGCCTATAAGTGAATAGAAATGTTTGGCAAATGGCAGTCTTCAATTGTTCTTAATGTCAGAATAGAATAGAACTTTATTAAAATTCAATAGTTACAATTTAAGTCATTTACAATACATAATTATTCTAAAAATTCATTTATAAAATAATAGGGATTATTTAGTAAGTATTTTTAACAATATTTTAAAGGTGAATCTGTTTTGCATCTCCATCCATCAGGTAGCTTATTATAGATCTTGGCTCCCAATGTAGTTCTTAGCGATGATTTAAGTTTGATTTTTGGACATATCACTGCATTTTTATTCCGCGTATTGTGGTCGTGGACATCACTTCTCAATAAATGATTAGTTTTATCCGCATGCACCGCAATAGCTTGTTGCCAAATATAAATGTTTGTGACAGTCAAAATTTTGTGTTTTATGAATAGCGGCCTGCAAGGCTCCCGAGGTGAGACTCCTTCTATTGCTCTAACCGCCTTCTTTTGTAGATCCATAACTTTAGAAGTGTGTGCACTATATCCCCAAGCTAATATTCCGTATGAAAGTACAGAATGGAACATAGCAAAGTAGGTTTCCCTGGCACATTCCTGGTTTATTATGGATCTAATTCTTCTAATGGCATAAATGGCTTGCGCATAGCAACTCTATATGTTTGGCCCAGGTCAGCAAACTATCCATTGTTAGTCCCAAGTATTTGACTTCACCGCCTTGAAGTTCAACATGTCTTCTACTAGCTGTAAAATTAATAGAAACAGTTTTGTTTTTATTAAGAACAATTTTATTGGCGAGGAACCACTCTTCAGCTTGTTTATAAGCATTTTGCCTCTTTTCATTCATAACTTTTATGTCTTTGCTTGCAACTGCCAGTGCCGTATCGTCTGCGAACTGAGTCGAATGGCAATTCAAGTTGGAGGGCAGGTCATTCACAAATATTAGGAATAGTAGCGGACCTAAAATACTGCCTTGAACAATTCCAATTTCTGGTACTACT